ATCACAGTTACAGAAAATATTATCTATACAAGTTGCCGAGGTGGATGTTACTCGGGTGGGCTCAAGGAAAACATTAGACAAATCAAATGATTGAAAGAGACTTAATAAGTTTGTAAAGGTCGGCAAACGAGCGTAATGTATTACTTGATGGTAAGCAATCCGCGCCGCCCATGGATAACCGCAACACCAACGACGACGAGTTTACGAGTGCGTTGCCGGCCTTAAGGAGATAAGGTTTCGGATATTTAAGAATTGGGAAGGGATGGGTGTCGGTGGAGATATTGGGCCTCCGGTAACTTCACTTACACGGAAAAACACAACGCAGAGGTTATTTCACGCTGGTCTTCTGTGAGGCTGTGGGAACATTCCGGTCGAGCCGACCCATTCGTGCCGAAGCTTGGCTCTCACACACTTGGTTACCTACCTCTGAACATTTGGGTACCCTGGATGACTCTATAATCTTTGACGCTCTGACTGCACCTACCCAAACTGGTACCAACTTAAATTTTAACATATTTGGTTTCAGAATTAAAAATGCTCTACAATACTCGATGGACGCAACTGCTAACGCAATGTAGAATCGTGCAGAATTAACAATCTCAGCTAAAAATTAAGTACTCTTCTGGTTCCGATAGTTCAAGTTGAATACTCTCCAAGGACCAACCAAATGTGCCAAAAATAAATACTTATCCAGTACCTAAACAGTAAGTAGGTACTAGTGGGAATCTACATAAATACTTCTATAATGGTTTTGACCACGAAAAACAAATTGCACTATTTATATTGTAAGCCTTCTCTACTTTGATGGCTATTTGGACGGGGCAGTGCCCCAATGCAACTTCAATGGCCACATAAACTCGTTGTATAATTACTTGTACTAAAAACTAAAATGGTAATGGGCTGGCCGTATCTCGGGGCTCAGGGACAATAGATGGACCATTGGAGTCACACGCTGGAAAGGACCTCTTGGAAAAAGGAATGTCGGCACACCTCTAAAACGGTGGACTGGTGATAGAGAAGCAGGGCGAGATTGGATGACTCTCGCTAAAAATAGAGATGTCTGGAAGGAAAAAGAGGGGGCCTTTACCCTCCACACCTCAAGATCAAAACTAACCTTACTGTAATAATTTAAGAAGTTTTTAATAAAGTTAATTATTGTTTAATATGTACTAACATTACTAACAAACATTTTAATGGTAAAATACAAATGTGACTGCAACAATAGATAGGCTTAAATAAATAATAATTACTTACAAATCATTAATTATCCTTACTAAACTTTGGAACCGCTGCCTGGTCGGATTTCCAAAGTTGTTTTACTGATAGATAAAAAAGTCAAAACCATTTATTTTAATTAGACCACAGTAAGCACTTTTGAACGTCAAGCAAAAAAAAATCGCAATGTGTTTAAAATTTATGCGTGTCCGTGCGTCTGTCCTCTAGTAAAGCTATTTGCTCGTTCCAAAGTGTAGATTCATATGGAGAAAATTATATTTCTATGGAATTTGTCTTGTAGAATAATAGTTTTCGCGACCCTAATGCAAACAAAACGGTTTAAATTTTTAAAATGATCTATCACAATAAAGCAAACTTAGCAATTATCGGAAGTAATAATACGTCCTAATAAAATGGAAAAAAACTACCCTCAATCAATCGGCTCGACCGAAATGATACCACAGCCTTACATAAAACCGGCGTGAAAAAACCACAGCGTTGTGTTTCGCCGTATGAGTGAGGTGACCGGAGGCCCAATCCTTCCCCTACCCCAATCCCTCCCCATGCCCAAAATCTCCAAATTCCTAACCCCCAATCGGCAACGCACTCGTAACTCCTCCGTCGTTGCGAGTGTTCATGGGCGACTCTGATTGCTTTACATCAGGTATTTCCGTTAGCCAGATAACAGAACTACCACATAAAAAAATGTGATCTTTAGCTGAACTAATAATAGGTATGCTGCTTATATCCGTGTGATCATTATCAAAACCCATATCGTGTGTGTGGTTTATTTCTATTTTTAAGACCTCTAAAACTCGGTAACGCCTTTTTATTTGCGTAAAATTCATGTATTTTCCCTCTGGATAGCTGCCATGTCATAATCATCAGCATGAATTAATTTCAATTTGACGTTTTCTCTCCTTTCCTGGGGTTTGTTTTTTTGTAGCAGCTTCTTCTGCAACATGTACTTACACCTGAAATATAGACAAAATTAATGAAGTATTTACTACTTACATATGTACTGTAATTAAATGGTAAATGTTAGGTACTATGAGTAACTATTGTTTAACACTAGAAGGGCCGGGCTTCATGCTACACCTTCAAAGACCACAGCGGTCAATTTGACGGTACTATATAATAAGTGAGAATAATTATGAAATTATTACAGATATTAAATACAAATTTATTTAATAGTAGTGCACTATTTAGCATTAAAGTTAGTAACACTTGTAACTTGAAGCACTAGTTTTTTTAGACATTCTTGTAATTTTTTCACAAACAGCTCTTTTACGTATAATACAGTTTTCACGTGTTTTTTGCATGATTTGACATTGCTGCCTCATATTGTTTGTATTGTATTACATGGTTCACATAATTCAGAATTAGTTTCTTGTCTCTAAGTCGTAGTTAAAGTAGATTTTTAACTCACATAGGTACTGTTCATGTTCTTCGCTCACTAGTTGCAGGATGAATCATGATGAGATTTTTTTATTCCTGTGACTTTTTGATTTAAAATCCACGAGTTTATAGCTGCAAAGTCAAGTATATTGTAAAAACGTGAACAGGCCCTCACCGACGACGTCGACAAATCGGTGGTACTTCTCGTCTTGCACACAAAGAGAATATAAGCACTACGTTTACTTGCACACTCCATTGTTGAACCACGCCCACTTTGGTTCAACAAAACTTAAAAAAAATAGTCTTTTTTGACTATTCGTTTTTTAGAAACGTGTCAAAGATATCAGTGGTTATGTTTTGGTCCTTTTGAAAATAGGGTTGTACTAGTTTCAAAACCAAATATTGATGAAATATTGTTTGAACGGTTTTTGTCTTTACCTAGATAAGGAAATCCTCCACATAGGTACCTATATCTACTAGCAGCCACAACTTTATAGCAATTTTATCGAGTTTGTTTGCAATATATTGTAAAAACGGACAGCAAGTTTTTGATAACACTGTCTATTAAATCATCACCTGACACTTCTAAATACAATTATCGCATCAATTCTTGTTCTATTACAACAATAACAAATTACGACTGCCCACCGAACGAAACCAATGTCTACCTACTGTTAAATGTAAACAAGCTAGGCAGTAACAACTTAGAATTCAATTTAACTTAAGTAAACCAAAACAGATACACTCATATACAACATTTTTTATAAAGATTTAGCTTAACAATAGCTAATTAAAAAAAGTCAAGAATTATGGAAAGAAACAAAAACATAGTTTGTGAAATATTTAACGATGTAGGTAATTGGTTTGCTGCCAATTTGACTGAATTGGTCTTTCTAGTATTAAGCGGCTCACGTGCAAATAGCGTGGCGTACGTACGCCTACAACAGAGGGGGGACAGTACCCTTCATCCACCAACATGGCAAAGATAGAGGTTGTAACTTAGAAATACTCAATATCTTGCTAAGTGACTAATATCACATTAGATGTCACTGTCCTGGTGTTGCATGTCTAAAGAACTGCTTCAATAATGGGTATAAATAACCAGTCGTATAAATGGGAATAAATAGGTAGGTCAAAGAGTATGTAACCACTACGTTGAGGTAGGTCTGAATATAGCATGCATTAGTTTCTGGTTACAAAATCCAGAGGGCGTTCTAAATTTGTATGCCAAAAAAATACGCAAGATGGCTCTCTTCTCCCCCTTTATTACTTTACACTTTGGCGTACAATAAGAAGAACGCGGGAACGAAGTGGAGTGGAGAGAATTTATGTTAAACCGAAGCCAAGCCAAACCAAGCTCACGTTAAAAAGTGATCAATGTAAAATATTGGATAATTTACAAAAACACAGTAGACAACACTAACCTGTAGCCGCAGAAATTCGTTTGTTTACTTGATTAAATAGAATAATAAGCCTAGCGAGTGAGTGGAGCCTCCACCCGAATAAAAAGGCTTTCACGTTAAGAATAATGCTTCGCGCTTCACTTTTAATTGCTTTTAGAATATACGCTGAAAGTGTATAAAATAGAGTAGCTGAATGTAGTAGACACTGACATGAAAATCGCATGATATAGGTACAATTTCAACATAGCAGCTGTAGTTCCCATTTTCTCCAGTACCTACTTAAAGAAGTTGGTAGGTACCGTCTATGACTAGTTTGTATGTGTAGTAAAATTAAAACGAGCACAAGCATTTTGACACCTGGGCACGGCAGCCTCGGTAGGTTCCTGTTTCGGATTCAGCGGGAGGAAACGCCCGAGTGTCGTCATTGTGAGGACCACCTAGAGGACACGGACAGGAAGTGATCGACGGCGGCAACGGCTTAGTCGAGGCCATGGTTCGTAGCGAGAGGAACTGGGAAGCCATCTCCTCTTTCTGCGAAGCAGTGATGCTTGCAAAGGAGGAGGCGGAGCGCGTAAGGGAACTATCCTCCTCACGCCCCAGCCGCCGCAGTAGGCGACATTCCGAGCGTCGGGGACCGAGAGATGATCTCCGGCCACCGTAAGCGCGGGTCTGTGGACGGCGAGTAAGGGTAGGTAGCTCGCCGCCCGACCAGAACCAGACCCGAGCGTACGGCGCGTAGCGTTCCGCGCCCGCCTGAAAGAGCCAATAGACCACTAAAGACGGGGCCTTTTTTGGAGTTTATGGCCTGGAGGGGACCCCCTATAGGGCTGGTGTTCAGCTGGGGTTGCAGGTTAAGCGCAACGAGTCACCGCGGCCTTGGCCCAGAACAGGAGAAGGAACGGGGGTTTTTAGTCAGTAAGATTTTGACACTCTCTCTCGCCTAACCCTGGGCAAGAAGTCATTTGGTGAATTTCCCCTGACAAAAAAAAAGCATAAACCTACGTGTGCCATAGATTATACATATACTACAAATAGACTGCTCTTTGCTGCTCTACCACATTAAAATGTATTATCTATGTGCATGTGCTCTACTGTCAAAATTGATAGTACGAAATTCATTTTACATAATTTAATTTACATTGATAACATAACCAGTTTTATTATGAAAAGCAGAGGTACAATTCTTTAAAAAATAAAATAAATAAACTGTTCACAATGCATAGAAATATTGCGAAGCTTTTAAGGCAAGTGCCTGCTGCGTGGTGGGTGGTAGGAAAGGTTCATACTAATCTTTTATTGCAACGAAAATATGACAACAATTTTGTGTTCATTTCTTTGCAGATACTTCGGTCGTGACTTCAGAACAAATAGATCATTCAGTAATAAAATTGATGCAAGTGAAAATGAGCCTATCAAATTTTCTACTAGTCAAGCTTCAAGAAAGTCAGCTAGACCTTTAGTTAAAAGGGTAAATGTAGATATGCCGTGGTACCAGCCTTTTTCAGTAGTTGGGAGTGTTGCAGTATTCCTTATATATTTCTGTGTGCTGCGAGAAGAAAATGATCTAGATCTTGAATTTAACAAAACACTTTATGATAGAATAAAGGGTCTAGAGAAAGAACAACTTCTGCAGTCATATAGATTCAATAAGGAACATGGTAAAAATGTTGATGACATAGAAAGGAGACTTAAAGAATTAGAAGAACAAGAAAATAAACTCATTAGCCCATAGCTGTGTAAGTGAAGCTGTAACAATATTTTAAATAACTTGATTATTTCAATGTAGATATCACATTGAATTATGTAAACATAGTCTAATGTGTCATTAGGTAAATAAACAATGCCAGTCTATCAGTCATGTTTTAATTACCTACTTCATCTATTGGAAGACATCCTCATCTAAAAAAAGGCCTATCCCTTTCATTCTATTCTTTCATGGGCAGCTATGACTGCAGGTAGCGTTGCCAGGCATCCGGATAAAGCCTGACATAGGTAGGCTTTTTGATTGCTAGTCCGGCCAAAATAATCGGTGTCCGGCCTGTCCGGCTTTTTACCTCAACTTCACAATCGCAAACGAGTGAAACGAAACACCAAACATGGCTGGAGCAAAGCAGAGACTTGGACTTCTTAATTATTTCATAAGAATTCAACAAGATTTGTGACAATAATCAAAAATGCTTGATTTTCATTAAATCTTGTTCGTACCTATTAATACTGAGATACAAAATCTTTAAGTATGTAGGGTGTCCAGCCATTTTAGTCAAATGTCCGGCTAAGGCCTAGCAACCTAGCAACCCTAACTGCAGGCATAGCAGTGTTTATTTTATATAAAATCAATATACTACATGATGGACTATTTATACTATCCTAAAGAACACCATATTGTACTATCACTGCTTTATTTACAAAGAATCACACTACAAACTCACATTTACTAAGATTTAATCAGAAAATATGATGATAGTATTCACTTACATAATTAACATTCTTTTAAGTCATGTTGTCTAGAGGATCTTAGTTTAGTGAGGTAACATGAGACGACGGTGGACAACTGGGAATCATGCTTTCTGTTAGTTCAAACCTACCTATTCATTTCATAGGTAGCAAAAAAGTAAACTTGTAACAAAAATGCATTTGTGTATTTCAGTTATTGTGCAATATTTATTGAGTCACCCAGTTTAGATTTAATAATAATATGAGGTTAAAAAGTCAGGAATTTATAAGAAAAATAATGAAACAAAGGTTAGACCCTAATCATATTTATTTAACACCAAATTTTCCTCATTATACAGCAACTTATTACGCTAAACACAAAGATAACTCACACTGCACATGGTTTACATTATCTATTTATTCTACTTATGATTTTTAAGTAATAATTAAGAAAACTTATTACAAAAATATCTCCATGTACTGCTGGTGACAATATTGAAAAATTAGATCATGACAAACAATGGTTATTATTTTTTACACACTAACTTAAAAAAAATGTATTTAATTAAAAAAAACTCAGTTCTGCTTCTTCCTTATTAAATACAATGAATGAATACAATGTAAATAAAGATAAAACAAGTCACAAAGAATTGTTATGGAATTTAGATCTAATGAATTACCAATAATTTATGATTAAAGTACACTAGTTAAACTTAAGCACGCTCGCCACGGATTCGTCGGGCAAGCTGAATATCTTTAGGCATGATGGTGACACGTTTGGCATGGATAGCACACAAGTTGGTGTCTTCAAACAAGCCCACCAAATAGGCCTCACTGGCTTCCTGAAATTTAATATTAATGTCAAAAATCAAGCTTGAATTAATGTAAATTTAATTGTTTGGCCATAACAAATAATTGTTTACCTGTAGAGCTCCAATAGCAGCAGACTGGAAACGCAAGTCAGTTTTGAAATCTTGAGCGATTTCTCTTACAAGACGTTGGAAAGGCAGCTTACGAATAAGCAATTCCGTGGACTTTTGGTAACGACGAATTTCACGAAGAGCTACTGTACCAGGGCGGTAACGATGAGGTTTCTTGACACCACCAGTGCTCGGGGCTGATTTACGCGCCGCCTTTGTAGCTAATTGTTTACGAGGAGCTTTACCTCCGGTAGATTTACGAGCAGTCTGCTTAGTACGTGCCATTTTTCACTGGAATAAAGATAACGCTGTAAGATTATCGATGACTACAACAGGATTTCTCGAAACACAAATACGAGGTAGGTTGTATAAGAAACTGATAATTAAAAGTTCACACTGATTAATTACAATCTTTTCTGGAAACCTACACACCTTTTTAAGTTATTTCAAATGGATAAACCACAAATTTTAATTAAAATGGAACAGCGAAAGCACACAACAAAGATCATATGCTCAAGATGGCGTCAAAGGGAATGGCGGGTGAAACAGACGCCAATACTTCCATTAGCTCATTGGTCGAATGATAGGTGATTTCCAGGATGCGATTGGTTATTAATGTAAGCTTACTTATTGGTTCCTCAATACGAACTCTTTTCAGTGATTGGTTCAAAAGATATGCGTGTGACCATTATGAAAAAATCGTACTTTTAATTTAAAAATTTACCAACTCCTTCAATGTTGCCAATGAGTAAAATAAAAATCTTACAATGTTCCTCAAAGGCAAAGGTACTGATTAAGGTCTGAAATTAATAAAAATCATTGTTTTCATCTAATATAGAGACACATGAATACAACTTATGTCAGAAATTTATTATATTTTGCCCATTTTATCGCGATGGAACATATTTTCTCTTATTTTGTAAGAAATCTTTTCCTTTTTTTAGATCAATGACAATTTTTATACGGGGTCGTACGCTACGACCCCGTATAAAAATTGTTTGAAAGCCTCCAATTCTTGATACTCTTCTGCGTGTAGCCCTACTGCTGAACGAGCGCACCTATTGGCTGTGAATGAACCGGAATAGGGACTTTGGTATCTTGCGATGCCCTCATCCAGAGTCATCCAACTTTATCATTTCGTTGTACGTCACTACTTTTCGTGCGGCACTTTGCCTCAGGATAAGTAAATCGTTAAGGTTCGCAGGCGTGCCAGTTACTTTAGAATCCTTTGGCTTGCGACGATGGCAAGAAAACTGACGACGGTCATGATTCTGTTGGTAATTGGGTAGGTCTTGGGTACGATGCTGAGGGACGCTACTTGCGTTGATACTCATATACCTACCACCGCATCTTCTAAGCACAACGTGCAACGAGCCGGTGCTGTCGCTGCAGTTGCTGAAAATTATATTTTAAATGATGCCTTTGAACAGTTGACGTTGAATAAAAATGCTTGTGTACTGTTGACAGACTTATTGGTGACGGTGAAGCATTGCCATTCAACGTGGCAATGTCTGCTTTGTCTGTCTGTCGTGTTTGTCTTTTTCTGTGGTCTTTTTCCACACTACTTTCCGTCCGACAAGAAAGGGTGATTTTTCTGATATTGGTCTTTTGTTTTTAGTTTATGTAAGTTTTTTTAAGTGGTAAAGTAAATTATTTTGCTTTTATTTTAATGAGTATTGTACTAGTTGGTTTCAAGGTTTGATACACAATGTGTGAACTTTTGATAAATTACAAATTTAAATATTAGTATTGAAATCGTACCAAAAATTAAATTTTCTATTTAATGTTGATGAATTGTTTTTATGCTTTATACAGTATACTGTAAAACATAAAATTCTTAATATTTTTTAAAGGTGTCCTACGTAGTAGGTAGTCTACGAAATTACACATTGAAGTTATATTGTCAAAGCGTGTTTGGCTAAAGTGTCCTATTTTTTGTCCTTGTCTGTCTAAAGTCAGTTTTAACTGAAAAGAGCGAGTCAAGTAGAAAACATTTAAGTTGATAGTGTTGTCAATTGATTGCGCTCTATTTTTTGATGCCGAAATTAAATTCGACTCGAAGATAACGCCCGTATAAGTTCAAGGCCATTTAAAATTAAATTGTTCAGTTTTTGCAACATTACTATGATTAAAATGATTGAAGAAAAGTATTTACCTTTTCCCTTTCTAAAATAAACGTATCACGTGATCCTTTATTGAATTTTAATTGGACGTCGTGAGCGTGCCCTGCGCGACGCGAGAGGCGCAATAATTTTCCAAAATGCCGTCGGAATCTAAGCCTTTGTTAGCAGCTCAAACAGAAAAACCAAATCATTACAAGTAATTGCATGTTTTTATTTGTGCAATAAATTAAGTGGTAGTGTTTCATATGAAGTTCAATACAGTGTATTAGCTCTGAGTTTCCAATTTCATGTTCCAGATATCTAAAGGAGTTTCGGGTAGAGCAGTGTCCGTCTTTCTTACAACATAAATGTACACAACATAGACCTTTCACTTGTTTTCATTGGCATTTTAATAATCAAAGACGACGAAGGCCCGTAAGAAAAAGAGATGGGACGTTTAACTATAGCGCTGATAACTACTGTACAAAATACAACGAGACATCGGGCATTTGCGAGGATGGGGACGAGTGAGTACATTTTGCTTTGTTTTGTTGAATAGTTTGCTTTCTTTGTTCTAATTGTATAGGTTACATCTACGAAATGCTTGTTAAAGACTGATTTCGTTGTAAAAGAATGACAAGATGGGTAATCAGTTACAGGAATCTTATTAGTTTAATATTTGTTTACTGCTATCTCAAGTATAACCCGACTAAATTCTAACTCCACGTCACCGCTTATAGTAATCACGAATGACATGACATTGTGTTTTAATAGTGTAGGCCCATTGTTCATTTTGTTGTTTTGAAAGAAATGTTATTATGTATTTGAGATTGAGATGAAATAACACCATTTACATTGAAGTTAATGTTACCCTATGCTGCAGTTGTGAACTGTGGTAATGTCTTGTATGTTTATACATTAATATGTTATTTTTCTAATCATGCATATTTTGTGAGAAATTAATTGGCTGTAACAAATACTACTAATATCAATATTTTATCCTTATTTACAATGAAAATACTAATTTTTGTTTGACAATATAAATGCCATGTATCATGTATCTACCTACCTATGAATTCTGCTATAAAGTACTTAGTAAGTATATCCAAATAGTCTCAGTGAGTTGTACCCACAAAGATTATTTAGATGCCTGGAGATTATTGTTCTAATAAATCATTGAGTTTTACACATTGTTTGAGGTTGAAACTTTGGCCCCTAAATTGTCTACCAAGATATTGCCTTCGGCTGGCTGTTTCTTCATTAACTATCACTTAATAAAAATAATAGTCAAAATACCTAGTCAAATTAAATGTAAATCTTTTGTAAATGGCAACAAAATAGATACAAACAGCCTAAACTAAATAAAATATTAGATTCAGTATGTATGACAATATGATTATACATTTGTATATATTTGTATACATTTGTATGTATTTGGTTTACATTTTAAAATTTCAGTTAACAGCACTGCCTATAAAAAAAATTTATTAATCAGTAAAGGACTATTTTGAATGATATGACTTTAGATAACAAATGACTGAAATTATGCATTTCATAATTATATGACATACATTAATAGTTTTGTAAGACAATTGACTGTATATAATTTGTTATTTTAATTTTTCTATTTTATCTGTTACTGTAACTGATTTTAATTGCTGACATTTTTAATTTTCATATTTTATCAATTATTGTTATAATTTGCATGCTGTAAGGTAAAATGTAGCTAAACTCATAATATAATGACCTATCCATCTTATACTGTACCTAAATTTAGATCTAATAAAATTCTGGTTGTGATTCATCCATTAGAATGTGTGAATGTGCCATCACATCATGATGACAATAACTAAGAAAGCACCATGATAATCAGAAAGTGGGTTAAATACCACCAAACCCAGGTTCATCTTAAGATCAAGGATCATCCTAATCTAAATATATTGATTACCACAGATGTCCATATCTACATCGCACAGCTGGAGACACAGAGAGACGTTACCACTTGCGGTATTACAAGACATGTATGTGCGTGCATGACACGGATGCACGGGGTTTGTGCACGAAAAATGGTGCACACTGCGCGTTCGCCCATGGAGCCCCCGACCTTCGCCCGCCAGTACTGGACATGCGTGAACTGCAAGCGCTAGACAATCCTGATTCTACAGATGCTGACGCTGCTGCGCCTAATGCCTTAGATAGAGAAAGAAATCTTCAAACTGAAGATCCAAAATGGCAAGGTACAAAGACACATGCTAAATAAACTCGAATTGATTTGCTGTGTAGCACATGGTATAAATGATGTAATTTTTTGTACTTAACTAATTTTTACATATCTCAAATTTCAGATACAAATTATGTTCTTTCTTCTTATAAAACTGAGCCGTGTAAAAGACCACCTAGACTATGCAGACAAGGATATGCTTGTCCACAGTACCACAATAGTAAAGTAAGTATCGTGTTATAAACTGTTTTTTTAGTTAATAGGTTATGTGCCAACTATTTGGCAGTCAGCATCAAGCAACATAACAAGTACTTTTGGCTGGCCTAATGTCATTTTTTTTAACAATATTGTGATTTATTTGCCCAGCTTTTAGAATTGTAGTGGACACAAATGAAAGCCACAATGGATAGCAGATAAGTTTATGCATTAATATCATGATTCTTTGGATTATTATTATTAATCCAAATTGAGACTACATACTAGGAAGATAATACTATGTGCATTACCATATGCTGACACTTTGTCAGAAAGTGAAAATAGTAGGATTCATCATCTGAACAATTTTATATTTTTTCTGACCTCTTAACTCAAATCAAATCAAAATCATTTCTTCCAACTAAACCATATAGGTACTTTTGAAACATCAAAATAGAATAGTAGTCTATCAGTCTGTTCGTCAGTGAAGCTAGGTGCTCGTTCCAAATTGTAGTTTCGAATGGAGAAGAACAAACAAGAATCTCCATTGTTACTCTTTTAAAAAAAATATTTGTTTTAGAATTCACCAATAATACATTTTTTATACATTACTGTACCCCTATGTGAGAACAATGCAGAGACAAGTTGTTAAAAAAAAAAAAAACAAATGATGGTATCTGTTATTAAAATTTTAATCAACACAATCCAAAAGGATGCTTCTATATAAACTCATTCAAGGTTCAATTTTGAGAATTTTAGTAACTACTGACTACATATTTGAGTAGTGTCCAATGGAGCCGAACCAACATGCTGCCAGGCATTCTTATCCTCAATATAATCTGAAAGTTTGTAGTATGCCTATCTACACAATTCGCGTTTAATATAAATTTTCGTTCATTATGATTTAATTCACTTCTTGGAATTTTATTGTAACAATTTACACAGAACCCCATAAACGATTTCTTTACTTTGGACAGACAGAATCGTGGCACTGCCAGCCTATCCTTGCCTCTATTAAAATTATGTCTATCGCTTCTTTTTTCAAACAGCACTATTCTTGGCTCGGTTTTAAATAGAAATGGTAAGTCATTAACATACACTAAGAGGAGAAACCGACCCAATATTGAATCTTGCGGAACGCCCATTCTTATC